AAAGTTACAAGAAAGTTCACAATATTCGGACCGATACCGGTCTGTATATAGTTTGAGAATGACGCCTGTTGGGATATGGAACTTTTAAAAGTTACAAGAAAGTTCACAATATTCGGACCGATACCGGTCTGTATATAATTATAGAATGGCGCCGGTTGGGAGATGAAACTTTTAAAAGTTACAAGCAAGTCCACAATATTCGGACCGATACCGGTCTGGATATATTTATAGAATGGCGCCGGTTGGGAGACGGAACTTTTAAAAGTTACAAGCAAGTCCATAATATTCGGACCGATCCCGGTCGGGATATAGTTGCAAGTTTTAAAAGTTGCAGCTGGGTCCTCAATATTCAGACTGATACCGGTCCGTATATATTTGCGATGCCTCTTCCCCCCACAATTACAGACCGTTGTCGGTTCGTATATATTTTATTATTTTATTATATTATTTTTTTGGGACCAATTTTGGTCCGCTTATTTCAATTTCTCAATAATTATTTAAATTTCTTACTGAAATATACGGACCGATTTCGGTCCGAATATTATATATATACGAACCGATTGTGCGTCGGTCTGTATATTAGACTTATTCGTACCAGGTTTTTTCGGATCAACTATAAGGACCAATATCGGTCCGGATATATATATTCAGACCGATTTCCTATATATACGGACCGATGTTTCGGTTCGGAAATCCCATTCCTGCAGTAGTGAAAAAATCAATGTTCTATGTAAACATTTTTCTTATTGATTGGTATCACTATAGTTTCTTTTGGGTTAAATATCTTTTTTAGTCCCTCTATTATTTAAAAAAGCTCATTTTTAATTTTTGTACTGAAAAAATCCCTTTTTTAGTTCTTAAATATTGAAATCTGACCCTTTTTTGGTCATTCCATTAAGTTTTTTGATAGGTGACAATTAATTAACGAAATTATGTGATGTGAAAAATCTACTCTGTAAAAAAAAATGATGTGGACATATTTTTAAGTTCACGTCAATATCTTCACCCTTCTAGCTTTTTTTTTTTTTTTTTTAAACTTTTGTTGGGTTTGTCATAAACCCACCCAGGCGCAAGCTGGGTTCGTCCTGGGTTCGTGATGAACCCAGTGCACAAACCTAGGCTCGCACCTTGGTTTACAACAAACCCAATGTGTGAACCTAGGTGCGCTCTGGGTTCATCCTAGGTTCGTGATGAACCCAGGCGCGCTCTAGGTTCGTTGCAAATCTAGGTGCGCTCTTGGTTCTTCATGAACACAGGCACACGTTGGGTTTGAGGCAAATCCAGGTGCGTGACTGGGTTCACACACCTGGGTCTGTTGCAAACCCAAGATGAACCCATCTAAGCGTGCATTGGGTTTGTTGTGAACCCAACAAAAGTTACCCAAAAGAAAAAAAAAGCTAGAAGGGTGAAAATGTTGACGTGGACTAAAAAATATGTCCACATCATTTTTTTTTTACAAAGTGGATTTTTCACATCATATAATTTCGTTAATTAACTGTCACTTGTCAACAAATTTAATGGAGGGACCAAAAAGAGGTCGAATTTTAATATTTAGGGACTAAAAATAAGATTTTTTCAGTACAGGAATAAAAAAAGAGTTTTTTTTTCAATAGTAGAGAGACAAAAAGAAGTATTTAACCTTTCTTTTAACATCTCTTATTTAATTATACAGTAAAACATTTATAAAGAAACATGTGCACATACGCAAACCTTTGTTATTTACACACATAAACACACACACACATACAATCTAGTACATGACCACCTTTTGGTTCTTCATAGTGAATCAACTTATTAGTCCTTCATAGCCTAAATTATTAATTGAACAAATTATATCAAAAAATGTTATCTATAGAGAAGTATTTGAATGTTTGAACTTTGAAGTAAGGTTATTGTTAAACCAAAATATTTATATATGATAAATTGTATCCTTGACAATTCACATTACTAAAAATTTGTAAAAGAAAATTTTTACTTTTTTTGTTCTCTCGAGTTGCATTTGGATTTTGACAAAGTTTTATAAGGAAAAAATATTGAACATTGGTGGACTGAATTTATAAGAGAGTTTGAGGGATTTTTTAAAAATAATTTATTGGGATTTTCTAATGCCATGTGTTTGTAATAATTTATAAAAAAATATAATATATACTATATTTATAATTATTTATTAATACAAAATATTAAATAATAATAAAAAATTATTATAATATGAGCAAATCACACGAAGTGCAGCTTAAATTCTAGTTGTACAGAGAAAGTATAGTTTAACATTTAAAGTCATTAAGATTTCTTTAATGAAACTTGTTAATTTATTAACAATATTTTAATAATTTTATATATAGAATTTAGTACAATCCAAACTTAATAACTTGAAAGTGATTTATATAAAGAGAATAGCGTGGGGGTAAATTGTTCTTCTAAAGTTTTTATTTTTTTTAGGATTTAACTAAAAACTTATCTTTTAATTAATATTTTTAAAAGTTGACAGTTGGATTGAAAATTTTATTAATGTAGATCATATATGTTAATTTTTTTTTATTAATCTACCATTTATAAACTTTTGATCAAAGAAATTTTATTTATTAATATATATTTAATAATGTTAAATTTTTTATAATTAATGAAATAGTTAGACTTATTAAAATAATTTTAAAATTAATAGACATTATTGATATAAATAAATTTTTAATTAAATAATTAATTTTTAAAATATTAATTAAAAAAATAAAGTTTTACATATATCTTCTAAAAGAATTAAAAAAAAAAGACCGGTCAAAATTTTTTTACTTAAAAACTGATAAAGAGGACCATTTTTTTTTATTTGACATCATCAGTGCAATGAAAATTTGGATTCATGAAAATTTGTTTGGCTTGGGTAGATCACCCACGCAACCAAAGAAAGGTAGAAGTATGGTATAAGGACTTAAATTTATACAAAATTTACAATTTCAGGTCAAACTTTAATTTTAATCAATTAACATCTTGAATTGTACAAAATTCTCAAATTAGGTCCTTGACTTATCATCAAATGTCTTATGACTCCATTAATGTTCATTACCCTTGACTCAATTGGAATGCCACTTGGGAAAAAATATGTTGACATGTCATTGTGGATGCCATGTAAATTGTTTTTAGGGACTTATCCCTCTACAAACAATGGGACCCATTCATGGGTCTTTTGGTCTTTTTGACTAAGGATTGCTTTAATTTAGTTTTGACACACGAATTAGGGATAAAATCTCTAATTTCAACATACTTCATTGTTGTAAACGTGAGGAGATCTTGAAATTTCCCATTCGATCAACTTGAGTTCTAACTTCTTGCAATTTCCTACTAAAGTAGATCTTAAAAATGTAGGCGGAGGAGAAGGTTGAGGCAAAGGTGAAGGCAAAGTTGTAGCTAGCTTAATTAGTTCAATATTAGTTTGAGAGACCAACAAAATAGGTGGAGGTGGAGGTAGAGCTGCAGTAGCTTTATTGGCTCAATATCCATTTTGAAAACTAGGAAGATAAGCAGAGGTGGAGGCGAAGGTGAGGCATAGCACCAGAATCCTTCTTGAAATCTTTTCCAATTTTTGTCCTAAAACCAAGATGAAGTCCAGGGCTTTGTCTTCAACATCTACCCCTTCTCTTTGACCTTCTATGGGCTGATCTAGTGTTAGGCAGATTCTTTACTATCATGGATAAGTGGCATGGCCTCATGTTAGCATGAGTGAGTTAAACCTTAGAAGAAGGTACTACAAATGGCCATGTTGGTAGGTTAGTAAAGGGTATTATATAATTGTTCTTGAAATAAATTTAATTTCAAGTTTATTTGCTTTTGAATCTTGTTTTGAATAGTGCAGTTTGGTGGTGGAGCAAGAGCTTGCATTTTTTGAATGGGTGGATGTTGAATTATCAAGCTGGTACAAAGACATGTTTAATAGATTTAAAAATGAAAAATTGGCTTTAGAGAATAAGAAAAAGATGTTAAGAGCAGAATTAGTTAGGGTAAAGAGCAGTGGAGCTGTTGAGATTGATGTAATGGTTTGTAATTGAATCTCACTTTCCTCAAAAGTCACATTCACGAAACAACATTATAGGGGAAAGAAATAGGGTATCTTTTTTAATGTCTCATAGACTTTAATAATCTTGGAAGTTAAGGGAAAGGTTCCCCCAGGACAATCCTAAAAAACATTCTACATCACATTCGCAATGACATGTCAACATATTTTCTTTCTAAGTGGCGTTCCAATTAGGTGGAGAGTAATAGACATTGACAAAGTCAGTACAACATTTGACAATAATTTAATTTTCCATCCAATTGGGATCTTATTTGAGAATTTTGTGTAATTTAGAACCTTAATTAATTGAGTACAACTGAAGTTTGGGTTTGAAATTGTGAATTTTGTGCAAGTTTGGTCCTTATACCATACTTTTGCCAACAAAAATCTCTGCCACACAAAGTGATACGACCTCCAATCCAACTGCGCCGAACATTTCTTAACACACCTATTATCATCAATGTTCATAGCCGGGAAATGGCGACCTCTCACTCTCTCTCCGACTCTTCTCGCTTCTGCTTCCTCTCCAAATCCTCTTCATTTTACTTCCCGCTGAAACCATTCCTTAATCCTCCTTTATCTCTTCACTTCCCGCTTAAACCATTGCTTTCCATTCCAAAACGAAGGGAACTCAGCCGCGCATATGGCGCCGTTGCCACTGACTCCACCCAGCCTACGATTGCGACTCAGCACGACGTGGCTGAGAGTTCCCAGCCCAAACAGAAGCTTAAGAAGGTCATCCTTCCGACTAACGAGTCATCTCAGAGGCTCTTGAGGATTCGACACACGGTAATTTTTGTTCTCAATTTCCTTTCCTGGGTATGTTTTAAATTCTTTGACGGAAAAGGAAAAGAGAAGAAATTTTTGAACCTTATACTCCAGATTAGTTCGGGTCTTTGATGAAACAAATGGGAATGAATTAATTTTTAGGACGCTTGAGAAATTTATGTGAGAGGACTTACTTTTAGTGCTCAAGAATTCATTTTTAACCAAGACATTTTGTGTATGGATTCAGTGTGCGCATGTGATGGCCATGGCTGTTCAGAAGCTATACCCAGATGCAAAAGTGACTATTGGACCGTGGATAGATAATGGGTTTTATTATGATTTTGATATGGAGCCTTTAACAGATAAAGATCTCAAGAGGATTAAAAAAGAAATGGTGAGTATGCTTTGTGCACGATTGCTGATGCTTTACTTTCCAATAAAAGGTAAAGTTGTGAGCTTGGGAAGAAATTCTTGGTCTATGATTTCAGGGTACAGAATTCATTTCTTACGTCCTCTGTAGGATCGGATCATTGGTCGAAATTTGCCATTGGTAAGGGAAGAGGTTACCCGGCATGAAGCACAGAGAAGGATAATGGCTATGAATGAACCTTATAAGATGGAAATTTTGGAAAGTATCAAGGAGGAACCCATCACTATCTATCATATTGGTAAGGCATCCGTTCTCTCATAATTTGTATACATGCATTGAGAGAGATGTGCTTCTTTGTTCTTGGAAAAGTGCTAGCTGAGTGGGAGTGCTGAACTTTATCTCTGTGTTCCTGTTTGTTTCAACAGCTTGGCCACATCATGTTCTACTTTTGAATATCTTTGACAGAATTGAAGCAACTTAAATGCTGCTTGGTTGGTGTTTCTTAAGTTTTACATTGAGAATTTCTCCTTGGTAGATCTGTCTTCAGTTTTAGGTTTGGAGTTTCTTAATTTTCAGAGATATTTGTTAGCATTTCTTATTGCTAAGGTAATTGTGTTCTTTTATTTTATGGCTTAATAATAGTTGATATGTTGATCAATGATCTAGGTTTGTTCTGTTCCTACTTCGTTCCATTGCTCTAATTTGTGGTTCTTCTGCTACTTTCTTGGCATACATTTGTGAAATATCAGCATCCAGAGCTTTAACTAGAAAATAGTGTACAGTATATAAATCAAGTTCTTTTCTTATGCCATGTCTCCCATTTGTACATTTGACTTGTAAAGTCTCCTCTTTTGTTATTCATTTTCCTAATTAAAATTATTCTAGGTGATGAATGGTGGGATCTTTGTGCTGGGCCCCATGTTGAAACTACTGGCAAGATTAACAGGAAAGCTGTTGAACTCGAGTCTGTTGCTGGTGCTTACTGGAGAGGAGATGAAAAGAAACCTGTGCTACAGAGGATCTATGGAACTGCATGGGAGAATGAAGAACAACTGAAAGCTTACCTTCATTTCAAAGAGGAATCTAAACGTCGGGATCATAGACGCATTGGTCAAGATCTTGATTTGTTTTCTATACAGGTATCTCTCTTCAGAAATTGTTATCTGCTAGATGTGATGGCAAATGGCAATTAGGTGACATATTATTACTGTTTATTATTAATTCATGTTGTTTGACTATTCAAATTGGATAATGTTCTCAACAGGAGGATGCTGGAGGAGGTTTAGTCTTCTGGCATCCAAAAGGTGCAATTGTTAGGCATATTATAGAAGATTCATGGAAGAAGACACACATTGGACATGGTTATGATTTGCTATATACTCCTCATGTTGCAAAGGCAGATCTTTGGAAAATCAGTGGTCACCTGGACTTCTATAGAGAGAACATGTATGATCAGATGAAGATTGAGGATGAGCTTTACCAACTTCGGCCAATGAATTGCCCTTACCATATATTAGTTTATCAAAGGAAACTTCATTCTTATCGGGATTTTCCAATTAGAGTCGCAGAGCTTGGAACCGTATATAGATATGAGTTGTCTGGTAGCTTACATGGCCTTTTCCGTGTAAGAGGTTTCACCCAGGTAAACTGTTATCTCTTATCAATAACTATTTCAGAAGCTCACCCTTTTTAATGTTTTTTCTTCTCAAATTTTGCTTCTATATTTTCCTTGCACTGTAACATTTTATATCACAAGTTGATAGATGTTGTAGTATGTTATGATTGAAATACCTGTTTGCATCAGCCAAAATAAAAAAAAAAAAAAAAAGAAATTCTTGTTTGAGGTATACATGTGAACTTAAGGTTGGTTTGGTTATTCTCTAGCATGATATCATATAATAACTTGCTTGACCTAGCGGTCTGAACCCTAGTGTTTTTTGTCCTAGTAAGGAAAATCATAACAGTTGCAGCATATGTTAATGTTGACAGGCTTTCACTTGGATGACATGGAAAGCCCTGTTGGCTTGCACGTGAGAAATGTCTTAGTAATTTATAGGTTCTTACCTATTAGCTTAAGCTGTTAACTCTGGCAATGTGATTCTCTAACTGCCTGTTTGCTTTTCCCATGATCTGGTTTTGGCAGTGAAAACAAAGCAGTGGTCACTTAGTAGATTGTCTAGTGGGTGTAAAGCTAGTAATCTATTGACAAAGGACTTATGTTAGGAATAAGCTGGTAAAAGATCTTCCAATTAGAATTTGAAAAAGAAAATAGTATTGTTTTTGACCATTCAAATCCAGTTAGTCATTTTTATTTACAAGTACTGTCGTTTCTGGAACTATTCTCATAGAATTTATTTCTATAAATAGCCCATAAACTGAGGCAAAGTCCTAGCACCATAGGAATGCATCTTCTTTTCTTTTATTTTCTTAAATACATCTAGAAGTATAAACTGCAATATATTTTTTTCATGGCAAGCTTAGAATAATGACCTACAAGTTATCAGAGATGCTTTTGCAGGATGATGCGCACATATTTTGTTTAGAAGATCAAATTAAGGATGAAATCAGAGGTGTTCTGGATCTTACTGAAGAGATACTACTGCAATTTGGTTTCAACAAGTATGAGGTGAATCTCTCGACTCGACCAGAAAAAGCTGTTGGTGATGATGATATTTGGGAAAAGGCAACATCTGCACTTAAAGATGCTTTGGATGATAAGGGCTGGAGCTACCAGATTGATGAAGGTGGTGGGGCCTTTTATGGTCCAAAAATTGATCTTAAGATTGAGGATGCTCTTGGAAGAAAGTGGCAGTGCTCAACCATACAGGCAAGTTTCTACAATATGGGCAAAATGATAAACCATCCTCAAAACATGAATTAGATTAGTACTGACATACAACATACTTTTACTGCAAATATGTGACTTTTTTAATCAACTGTTAATTTTTTCAAGATGGAATTCAAATAGTTGAATAGAGGAGTGCATCTGTAGCAATATTGACTGGGTCTGCTTCCCATTCATTCTTTTAGAAGAATGCTCTCCATGATGGGCGCATTGCTTTTGCTTCTATAATAGAGGCACTGTAATAGGAGAGCTTGGCTAATGAATAAATACCTGGTCTAGCCTGGTCATTGGTCATCTCTTTCTTCTCTATGGAAGAATGAGGGGATAAGGGGAGGTGAAAAAGCAAGAAAGAGGCAAGTAGAGTACAGGATTGGCAATGGAGAATTTGACTTTTTTCTGCACCATGCAGGTTGATTTTAATTTACCACAGAGATTTGATATTACATACGTTGACTCAAACTCAGAGAAAAAGCGCCCTATCATGATTCATAGAGCAGTGCTTGGATCCTTGGAGCGATTTTTTGGAGTTCTCATTGAGCATTATGCTGGAGATTTCCCATTGTGGCTTTCCCCAATACAAGCTCGAGTTTTGCCAGTTACTGACACACAGGTCAAGTACCGTTTCTAGTATTGTGTTTTATAGTATTGACTGATTATTTATGAATTTAAGCATCTCAAGGGCTTTAAATTTAACGGTTTGTGATAAAGAAGCATACTGCATTGTCTACCTTGCAGCTTGTATACTGCAATGAGGTAACTCGCAAACTAAAAGCTAATGGCATTCGAGCTGAAGTTTCTCACGGTGAGCGCTTGCCTAAACTCATCCGAAATGCTGAGAAGCAGAAAATCCCCTTAATGGCAGTTGTAGGTCCCAAGGAAGTAGAAACGGAAACTGTTACTGTTAGATCCAGGTTTGGCGGGGAGCTTGGAACCATAAAAATTGATGATTTCGTCTGTAGAATCAAGAGTGCAATTGAAAACGGAATCTCAATCTAAATGTTCTGTGCTGGGGTAGTGGGTACTTAATTATACTATGGAATTGAATACATAGCAGAAAGTCAAAACAGAGTGATATAAACCATGTAAAATTTTGCTTTGTAAATGTGCATCGTGTTGCTGGCAGCTTTTTGGCCATTGTTTTTGATTAACAGTAGATATGCTGTTCCATATCTGCTGGGGTAATTATCTTGTTATAAGTTTTTATTTGCATTTCAAAATTTAGGTTGGCAAAGTTATAAAATGTACAATAAGACTTACAAATCTAAAAGAATTCGGACGAATTGCGCTTATGCGCAACGCAGACCCTAGTTCGGCCTAAAGCAGTATAGAGGCCTGTTCCATGTTGTCTTATTTGGTCAGATGCATTTCTGTACAACAGGCTTATGTGCCTCAACGGTGTAACAACACAACACCATAACTGGGCTTGAGCCACAAAGGCCTAAATCATAAGGTCTCAAGGAGAAGTCCAATCTTTAGATGAATGACACCTGAGTCACTAAAGGTGTTTTGTCATGTAAACTTCAACCCTTGTCATAATATTATAAATACTCCCAATTATGTCCTTCTATGGGTATTGACACCCATTCACTTATACTTGAGAGTTTCTCTCTAATAATTACTATAGTATTGACTTAAGTATCAGAGTGTTATCTTACAATAATCTCCTCTATTTTGCAAGACAGGTTCAGTCTTGGTTAAGGACTTTATTTGGGTTTATGTTGCAACAAATGGTATGACAGGGTAATAGACATGTCCTTATATTTTTTGGTTTAATAATTTTCCATTAGGATGAGCTAGCATCAAACAAGTTGATTAGTATACTACTAGTTCACTATAGTTACTAATTCAATCAAATTCTTATTGCTTAGTATGTTTCCAATTGTACATGTGTTAGCTAAGTTGCCTTGGTTCGTAGCTAAGTAGTTCGTAGCTAAGTATGTTCAATTCTCTCCTTCACAGGATTTTATATTGTATAACATAGAGATTGCTTGAGTACATGATGAATTCTGGAGGCAAAATCGGCTACTAAACAGCCGAGTCAAGCAAATAACCGATTTCAATTAGTCCAAATGCTAAATTAAGCAGATATAAATTTAGCTTCTAGAAGAAATTGTGGCCCTGAGCTTCTCTGTCTCCCTATAAATTAAACCTTTCGCTTTCTTCTTCACACCAAGGTGATGACTGATTGAAAGAGAAAAAAAAAAAAAAAAAAAAAAAAAAAAAAAAAAAAAAAAAAAAAAAAAAAGAGCAAAAAGAAAAAGGAGGAGAGAAGAAGATCCAAAAGAAACCAACATGGGGTCCAAATTCATTGAAGTAGCGACATTGTTAATGCTAGCTTTGGTCACAAAAACACAAGCAGTGTCTTTTGATGTTAAAAGATATGGAGCAAAAGCCAACGGAAACACAGATGATGCCACGGTAAATAGATCAAGGTTTTCTTTTCTTGAATTTTTCATAGTTGCGAACTCTCGAATCTAACACATCCAATTTTAAAGTTTAAAATTTTTTAACCAAAATTTCATCTGTGAAATAAACTATTTTTCCTATGTGTGTGTTTTTTAGGCTATTAACAATGCATGGAAGGACGCTTGTGCAGCTACCGATCCGAGCACCGTGGTGATCGGTGAAGGGACTTACATGGCGGGTTCTTTAACGTTCCAGGGGCCCTGTAAGAATCCGGTAACCGTTCAGGTCAAGGGCACTATAAAAGCCCCGAAAGATACCGCCAAGCTGAAGGGTCAAGACGGATGGGTCGTTTTCCAAAATGTCAAGGGATTAACAGTTAATGGGGGTGGATCATTTGATGGCCAAGGATCTGTTGCTTGGTCCATAAATGATTGTGCAAAAACTGGACAATGCAATGCTCTCCCCATCGTAAGTTCCAAGTTTTTTTCTTCTTCAAATGATTTTTGCAGTTGAATTTATTTGCATTGGGCTTCTAGAGCTCCTGTAGTCTGGGCTCCCAACATTTGCAATATTATTATAATTTTTTTTTTTTTGAAATTTTTATTCAATGTTTATGAACAGAACTTACGACTCACGGGGCTTGCCAATTCCAAGTTCCAAGATGTAACTTCAATCGACAGCAAGCTCTTTCACATGAACATCATAAACTGCAACAACTTGACTCTCCAGCACATAACTATCAATGCACCGGATCACAGCCTCAACACAGATGGAATCCACATCGGCCGGTCCAAAGGGGTGAATATCACAGGCGCCGATATTAAAACCGGGGACGATTGCGTATCCCTTGGGGACGGAGCTCAGCAAATCAATGTCGAGAACGTGAAATGCGGTCCTGGCCATGGCATCAGCGTGGGAAGCCTTGGGAAGTACCAGAACGAAGAGCCTGTTATCGGGGTTACAGTTAGAAACTGCACCATCACAAACACCATGAACGGCGTTAGGATCAAGACATGGCCAGGTTCTCCCAACGGTATTGCTTCCAATCTTCACTTCGAAGATATTGTGATGAACAATGTTAGTACTCCTATTCTTGTCGACCAAACTTACTGCCCCTATGGCCAATGCGAAGAGGTGCGTTCCGATTTGACTTAATTCACTTGCTAATTGATTGTTACATAAATGTTTTTTACACTGTTTTGTGAAGTTAAAAATATCAATCTAGGCTAGAAAATATAAAAAATATGCCTAATATGAACTCATACTGATGTTTTCAAGTCTAAGAACGAATTGTAAAACAGCCTTTTCTAATTATTTTATAGGCTCCATCAAAGATTAAGATCAGCGATATTAGCTTCAAGAACATCAGGGGCACTTCTGCAACTCAGCTTGCTGTGAGGATAATATGTAGCAAAGGGATACCGTGCAAGAACGTGGCCATTAGCGATGTCCACTTGACATACAACGGGAAAGAAGGACCAGCAACGTCAGAATGTGCAAACGTGCAACCGACCGTCACTGGTGTCCCGGCTTCGCTTGCTTGTGCCAAGTCTTTGCCTTCGTAATCTTCCTTGTTCTTGATGCGAGAAGAATCCAGAATAATGGGTGCTTAAATTAAATAAATGTCAAGAGAAATCCATAATTTTTTTTTCTTTGTATTTATTTACTTTTGTTCGACCTATGCACCCCCTCATGCTTCCTTTGCATGATGAGAGACTGGTGAATTATAGTCTGTGAAGACGACATTGGCCTCCTTTTCTACTAGGATTGATATTCCATGTAAAAAGAGAAATTTAAAAATTCCATTATTTTCTTTTTCAATAATTTAGCCATTTATTATCGTGTGGAATTCTAAGAAGTTGGGTGTTTAGTTTCAATGTTTTGCTCTATTATGAATTAAATTTGTGATTCTAATGTGGGAATTGAATCCAATTGTTAGAAAACTTTTAATTAGTCTTAGCTAGAACTGTCATTAAAAAAATGAAAAGTGGTCACTAAACATTTTTAGTGCCGACTGATTTTAGTGGCAGGCACTTTGATCTCAAACTTGGTCACCTTTAGTCATAGAAGATTAGGCCCTTCAGACAATTAAGTTTTAAGGGCCGACTGTCATTAGAAATTATAATAAATGCTATAGAGGCCAATACAGAAATTTTAATAGTAGTGTTGTAAAACGAAGAAAAAAACAATTAGAAGGCGGCAGAAAAATTGGAGAGATAAAGTGAAGGAATGCAGAGATATAATATATTTTTATTCTTCTTCATTTCTTTTTTATACATTTGCAAGAGTACAGACCTTGTATATAGAGGCCAATAGGTGATAAGAGTTACAAGTAATAAACACTTAGTAAAAGAGAGGTTACAAGGATTAATTGCCTACTAATGGAGAAGTTACAAGAAAACCTATTATCACCATCTAAATGCATGGTGTTATAGGGTGTTAACCACCATTGTAATTGCATGGAGGTAGTTGAAGTTATATCATCACTTGGAGTGTAAACACCATGGAAAGTGGGGAGGTAAGAGGATGATGAAGGTGAAACGTTCACAATGAATTGGATCATAAATTGATTCATAACACTTTTCTTTGCATGTTCACCTTTTATTATATGCTTGTTAAATTGTTTGATTAAAAACCTTACTAGTAAAAACCAAGTGGGAAAAAAAACCTTAGTGAAAGGAAAAATGTATAGTGCATATAATACTCCCTTTGGATTCAATGTATATTCATAATTAGACAATTTATGCTAATCTACTGTCTTAGCTGCTAAAAGTTCTAGAAGCCAATAATTTGGCAAAAAGAATTTGTTGGCTTCTCACTTTAATAAATTTAATAAACACTATTTCATTATATATTTGAAATACTGATCCAAAAACATTACGTAATTACCATGATTTTAATTCTACTTAAATCACCTTTTTTTATATTGACCAATCATTTCTTCATCGACAATTTTCAATGAATTTGATCCAAGATCCTCAATTTCATTGAGTATATCCATCACTATTACATATGCAATAATTTCTTATCAATAATGATTTCGTTTTGGTTCCATACTGTTTTAGGAGAACTATAATTTATAGAAATCTCATCATTGTATATAATTTCAACATTCTCATTGTTTTTCAGGTACTTGAACCCTTTCTTAGGGTTATTTCCTCAAAAACTCTTTAGGACTTTTATGATTTCAGCAATACTAACATTCTACTTATACTTTCTGTTCATTTTTGGATTTTTATAATTAGAACCAATTGTTTTAGTATGCTTCTATAGTATACTCATTTGTTAATATTTTAGCAACTTTTTAAATAGAAATATCAATACAAGTAGGAGTACATAAGAATTGAATATATGACTTGTTACTTTTATTTTGTCAACAGATGCATTCATCAATTGATAGTACAAAGTTTTGGAATTCTAATTTATATGAACTTATTTTAGGGTCTTGGAAGATGCATCTTAAGTTACCTCCTACCTCCCCAATATTTATTTCTCTCCTCTTGATACTAGAAATAGGTTTCTTTTAGATTGATAATTAATAAATTTTGTTGTAAAAAGATCTACAGTTAACCCATATAAACTCCTAGCCTTCTTTGGGATTATTAAGCTAAAATATGCTCTCGACACAATATTTTATATTGCTTAAGGGACTATTTTGTCGCCTTTATATTCAAGCATATATTAATGTCATAATATATCAAAAAATATTTCAAATAATTAAGTATAAGCTTATATATCTCCTTAAATCTAATATAACAATAAAGAATATTATATCTTAATTGTATTTTTTTTTGGTACTAACCTCACGAAATCCAAAGGCCACATTGGGTCTCGATTAACCTAAAATTGAGCCACTGTGGACCTCATAAGGGAGAAAGCTCTCCTAGCGCTTGTTTCCTCCATTCACAATACTCAAATTCAATCTGGAGACCTTACTTAAGGGAATTGAGTTTCTTCCACTCGAACCAACAGGTCGTTGGTATATTTCAATTGTATTTGTAATAGACTTGGGAATCATGGTCTCAGGGGATGCAGCACAAGAAAAATCATTTGATGGCCAAGTTATTTAGGTCCAAATCATTCTAGGATCAACTTTTTTGCTAGCCCCAATGTTTGATCATGTTAGATTTATGTATGTAATTCATAAGAGAAAAAATTTCAAATATGTGCCTTTTGGCCACATAAGAGATGTGACATTGGTAGCATTTTGTGTTATTCTCATTCATGGTTTCAATATAATGACCATCCTACATTTGTATCTTTAAAGTTTAGTAGATTCTAATATAATTTATTAGGATACAACTAGTTACATATATATTTAAAAATTTTATTTCTCTAAGTTGTAAAATTCAAGCTTTTCAAGAGCCTTCAATAATAAAGCTTGAGCTCTTTAACAATATGTGAGCTCTTTAAGAGCTTTCAATAATAAACAATGTACAAGCTCTTTGGATTTTTCAATCGTGCTTGTAAAATGGCATATCGCATTCGCTTCAAGCTAATTGTAATTGGAAAAAGTTCTTTTTTTTTTTTTTTTAATTTTTCATTATGGCATAGCTTTTTGCACATAAAAAAAATGACATGATTTTTCAGGTTCTATTCTACTATTATACATTTTATAAAATAGGAGTGCATGTATGCCATCTTTTACTTGTCATAGAGGCATTATTATACATTTATTGTGTGATAGCAATGCTTTACATAGTTTTAACTTTTCATCCTTGATTTCATCACTATAATAAGGATGCTTTTTCTCAAAATATATCTCCATTACTATGTAACCTCTATATTGAAAGATATTAGATGAGATGCTTTTTCTCAAAGTATATCTCCATTACTATGTAACCTCTATATTGAAAGATATTAGATGAGATTAATATGAATACCAAAATTCGGGATTTAAATTCCTTATACGAGAAATGTTATTATAAAATTTATATTCATTCATAGATGCATTCTTGCATCTTATCTTCTCATTGGAAATGAATTTTTATTGATGAGATTTGATCTCAAAGAATTCTCCTTTTAATTCACAACCCTTAGATTTGGATATATATTTAATTTCTCAAATGTTTGAGATATTTTCCCCCTATATTTTCAAAATGGATATAATATATTCAAGTTTAAAGTAAAATTGTATATTACAAATATCATAAGTATATATCCATAATATTATTTTTCACAAAAATATGTTTTTGCACATTTTCCTTTCTCATTGGGTAAAGTTTAGAACAAATCCAGCAAATACTTGAAGATATATGATAAACACATAGATTGCTTAGATATACTAAATATATGTGACTAATATTCATTCATGTCACATCTAAGAATTCTCAAATTCTTTGCCAACTTATTTTGCATAATTTCATTATAACAATGACTTCATATAATATGATATCACATTCTCTTCATGGAATGGAATCAAACCAATGGTTGTGGTTGATGATTTTTCATCAATTCAAAGTTTAGTTGGCAACAAGAAGACGTGTATTTACTTTGAATATACATATTAAAATTACTCTCTCGAGATTGCTACTTTTGGAGTACATTTGAGACATGAAAAAAAAAATTGTATCTTCTCGTATATGTTTTTACAATAATAATTTTTCTCCACATGAGGTAATTCAAAATATTTCCAGATTTATACCTAAGTAATAAATGAATCCATTCATAGCTAACTTTTTAAAAGAATTGCAATTTTCTTTTGATGATCATTTTTCTTCCAAACAATTTCATGATTCCAATGAATCATTTATCGTCAAATATTCATCTCTTAATCCTTTTTGGACTTTATAATGAAGAAATATCATGTCATCGCAATCCTTCAAGGATCCCTTTTCTTTTTCTTCAAGAATATTTTCTTTCTTTTAGAGATTCTTTATTTCCTTCTACAATTGAATCTTCAAGATTCATTGGAGGTAAATGAATTTTCACATTGTCATAACCCAATTTTAATTGGGGCTAAGTGATAAAAGTAAAAGCTCATGGACCATTCTCTGCAAAAAGTGTGAAGCTTGAAGGGTTGAGAGGAGAAACTAGCAAAATGACGTTATTTTGCTTGTATGCTGAAATAAAGGTTGAAAACCCTAGCCACCCAAACCCATTTCTTTCTTTGCTTCGTTGCCAGCCCCTCTCAAAATAGAAAAATCACAAAAATTTTCTTGACTTATCCCTAAATCTACTCAAGTTTTGAAGAAATTTACGGAGATTGAAAGTCATCAATAAGAGGCGCAAAAGAAGAGTTCGAAATTGATTTAAAGAAGGGAGTTCTAAGCATAGAAGGTATGAATCTAGACTAGAAAAGGGGGTAGATGTGGGAAAACTAAGAAATCCCATTCCAAATAGGATTGAGTTGTTATCTTAGGGATTGGGATTTGAGTATTAGAAGCACATTAGGATTGGGTTTTCCTTTTGTCTATAAAAAGGGGG